TTCATAAGGGGACTTATTCAAATCCAAAACTTGACATACAATGCAATCCTATACAAATTTAATCTGATTTGAGTTCCTTTTGGTTCCTTGACCCTTTATTCCTTGATTATATTTACAGGATTACAACCCAAATATGTTCAGTTAAAAATGACTACATTAGCTAAAAGAAACAGCAGGGCGTCTTTTCCAAGTCTTTTCACACAACAATGCATCTTTTGGAAGGTTGAGGAGCTAACATATGATAGGTGTTGATTTTTATCATTTGCAGAGATCTTGTGGTAAGAAAAGAAACATGTCAGTCAATAAGAACTTGCCGAAGCCTATTGGCATCCCAGTCTTCCATTATAGATTTAATTCTTAACAATTAAGTGCAGCTCACATTCTCAAAAATAAACTTGTTAAAATTACCGTAGTGTTACGAGGAGCTACTGGAGTGGAAGAATGCTCCGGGCATACATTTGAGGTGATATTCTGGTTCAAGCTTGTATTTAGTTCTATCATGTCCACTAAGGCAACGCTTAAATTCACACGAAGTGCATACAACAGGAAGAATCCAAAGAAGGCCCATATTGCTAAACTGAGGCGAGCAGAACACCATAAGGGCACTAAAAGAAGAAGAAAAACACATAATTGTTAATAGCATTTCCTTCCAAGGACAAATAATCCTTGTAGTCTTGCTCAGCTGTAATGTTTAACCAGATAGAAGGGTCAATACCATTAAGATTAGCCTACTCCTGCAAGAAGCAAGACATAAAGCATTTTCTACTCCATTTATCTCCATCAAAGAACCATAGTAGTGGATTAAGTAAGACTGTACATGGGAGTAAGTAACTGATTCACAACAAAATAAACAGACTTAATCAATAGAGATAAATTAAAATGACAGTTCCACATGGCAGATAGGAGAACTGATGCTGGATTCACTTCGATAATCTTCTGGATACAATTCTACATCTGTCTCCATCTCATCTCCAGACTACTAATAAGAACATGTTTTTATTAGCAAAGTTTCCCTTGGTTAAAATCAAGGCCTCCAAAGAAGAGACAGTAAGGTCACCACTAGCAGGTAACCATCTACAGGCCTCGCCTCTGCTATTAAGGGCAGCAAGAAACCACGGTAAATAGATCAGGATAGGGTGAAGCTCCTGGTGAAGCTTTAATTTTATCAGAGACAGTAAACACTAATGGAGATGGGGTGGCTCCTGTTTGTTTATTTACCTCAGAAGCTTCACAATTAAAATACTATATGACATGAAATTTGAAATACAAGTTTAAATAGGTGGGCTCCTATCTCCCCAGGTATCATATTTTATTGTCCATAGACTCAAAGTGAAAAAGTTGAAAGTCCTCTGTTTGAGCGCTCTCAACTCACATGATGCAATCATTGAGAATGATGATTGATGACAAGAAGGGATGCAAACTTGCAACACTAAGAACAAATGGTATCTGAAAGTTAAATTGAATTCATGGCCATCTCTTAAAAACATAAGAGCATTAAAGCTGCAGGTAACAAACATTTTACTTGCTTCTTGGATTGATTTATATAGTTGCCTATTTCACATAAGTGACTCTGTGTGGCTTACAAATATTAAAATTATTGAAACAGCAAAATCCTTTGAATGGCTTCTTCAGGAAACCCAGACTAAGCACTCTTTCTAGCAGCAATTTTTGGCAAAATGTATTCTATAAATCTGCAGTTCTCCACCCAAATTCATGGTACCATGATATCACTTGCTACACATTCACTATTTCAACCTTTTTAGAAGGTGTAATGATCAGTAGCTATTGTTCTTTCTCTAATCCTTCCAGCCTTAAAAATGAATTTACTTCTTTATAAATAATGAAACATTTGAACATTAAGTCCAAGTAGATTAAAATCAAATAGATGCAGGTTTCATTTTACAGGGAATCAAAGGACTATGGATTTTAAAAGATTTGTTACATGATATTAGCAACAGCCTTCCTAGTAGCATTTAGGTTACAAAATAAAACTAAATGAATAGAACATAAATTTGATGCCATGTCTAGTCAATAATACACAAAGTCTAATAAACAGAATCAAATAATAAGTGTTATAAACTTCATATTCTTCATATTTTACAAAACTGAAATCAAGTATATTATAAAGCCTATTGTAATTCTAGTACAATTATTCAAGGATAGATCTAACTGGAATAAACAGAAGTAAGGAACAGAAACTTATAGTATTACAATTCAAAACAAACATAAAAAAGTCTCCCTTTTTGACAAGCCATAGACTGTATGTCTTAACACACCACTTACTGTTCTAATATACAAATATACCATATCATATTCATCATCATCTTGCTTTAAATATACATAAAACAAAGAAAATACTATTTTTCCCTGAAAAAAATTAAATACAATAGCAAAATACTTTTTTTTTCATTTTGGAAAAGATTTTGACTTGTACCATTTAATATAAATAACCTTTCAAAATTAATTTATTACCTCCAACATCCAAGGAAGCTTTTGTTTTTGCAACCAACCTCGTTTTCATATTCATATTGTATCACTTCCTAGGTACTGTTGCACCAATTTATTGAAATGTTCCAGGATCATTACTTCCTGTAACTTCTTTGAGGAAGCTGCTGTCTATTTTTTTTTCAAGCCTAAGCTAGATATAGCATATTCTTCATCTTGCTATTTCCATACAAAATGTTAATAGTACGTAATGCTTTTTAATGCTAATGGCACTAATATGCTGCTGTTCATAAGAGACGCTAACCTGAATCTTTTCACCAATTACACTTACACTTTCCCTCCTCCCAGTTCTACTTCTCTGCTGGGTGTGGAATATCCTGTTGAACAGCAGCAATTTTTTTCAGCAACTTCCTTCCTTTTCATTTTCCCTATAATTTATTTCTACTGTTTCCTATGCGGATCTGTGCATACACGCCCACCCATGAAATAGACATCTACTTTGTACTAAATGGTTTGCTTTAAGTCAACCTACGTTTCTTAGCTCTATTTACAATTTAGCAACATGACCTATCGATCACAAGCAGTCATTTCCTAATGTGTGACGAAATCAACGACAATTTCATGGATACACACAGGCATGGAAAGAAAAGGACCTTGCTTTTATTTATTTATACCAATCCATACACACATGCAAAGTTCTATCAGTATAACTTTAGTTATAAAAACTATGAAATGAAAGATTAGCATAAGAAGGGGAAAGACACATATTTCAGTGGATTTTTAAAAAAAACACACTAATAACTGTAATGCTTTTTTCATTGTGTCTTGTAGAAATATGACATAATCGTCTATGGTGACTCATAAGACTACATTTTTTTATAAGCTGGTTTTGACTCAGAGTTAACTGTGGCTTGTGGACTAGATAAACAGTGAAACAGCTGTTTGAAAGACATAAGAACTACTTCAGGCAGGGAGATCAAAGTTCTAGAATTTTGTGTCCAATAGTAACCAACCACATCCTTTAGAAGCTCAGAGGTACATCAAGCATGTTATGAAAAATATTGCAACTACACTACAATGTTAGTACCAGAGTAAGCTAGAAAAGAAAATTCTATGTATACATGTTGTAAAAACATATGTATCCTGTCATTCTTCCAACAGTACACAACAGTAGACAATTGTATTCTTCTATTAGCTGAATGATAGCAGCTAATCCTAAATCATCTATGGGAGAGCTTCACAGATTTTAATGAGGGATGCGCACAAACGATAAGAATCTGCCTAGTTGCTCATTTAATCATTCATAAAATACTGAACTTCACCACTTGATACATTTTGGGGGCAAATTTGCATTTAAAATCAACATTGTAGTGACTTTTAAAACGATTATGCTCAGTAGATTTTTAATTAAAAAAAGAAGGTAGGATAAAACTCATTTTCTGATAAGTACAGATAGTCCTCACTTGATGGCCATTCATTCAGTGACTGTTCAAACTTATGATGGTGTTGGACAAGCGGTAGTTACAAATGATCCTTGTATGTGTGGCTCTTTCAGCATCCCACGGTCACATGATCACGATTTGCTACTTTCCCTGCCAATTTGCCACAAGCAAAATCGATGGGGAAACTTGCAGGAAATTGTAAGAGCACAGGCACATGGTTTTTCTACTTACAACCACATTGTTTGACAATAGTTTCTGTTCTCAATTAGCTTTGTTAAGCAAAGACTACTTATAAGTACATAACATTAAATACCGTACTTTCCATTTTTAAGTTTAGTCCAGAACAATGTGACTGAATTCACTGTACTTAGAAGCTAATGCTTTCAACCACTGAATTATGACTTCGTATTTTAAATTAGTTTTCTGTGATAAGCACTATTTCCCTTGTATTGCTATGTTTAATCATACCACACAGAAAACAAATTGTTTGAAATTAAAATACCCTAAGGTATTACCCCATTATTTTAAGCTTTTTTCTTTGATCAGGTGACTTCCCCCTCCAAACCACATCAACAAGGAACTTTTGAAATTCCTTGTAGTTTTGAAAGAAGTTTGCCATGTGGTTTAAGGCCTTGCTTTGGACAAAAGCAAAGTAAGCAATTTGGGCTAATTTGCTGTCCTAGGTAATTGCTAGCTAATTGCTAGCTAATTGCGAGGCTATTGGACTAGAGCTATTGACACAGGATGTTCTGTTCCACACTTAGCTCAGGACACTTTTTAGGTGACTTGTCTGAGAAATATTCAGTGTCCTTCACAAAGTTGTTCCAGAGATAAAATTAGTGAAAATTAGTCTATCAAAACTCCCTGTTTCCAATTGCATTCTCAGATTTGTAATTCTTTGCAAGGTTATATGAACAAATTTAATGTGTGTTTTATGATCCATTCAACCTGCCTTGAATTTTGCTTTCTTTTGAATACAGATGCTGCATTTATTTAATTATATTCTGGTATCCTACTCCTAAATATTAATAATAAAGCATGTTATATAGATACTATAACTTTTCAGACCATGCTCCTGTGAATGTCATATCCCTACTTCACAATAACTTAGTACATTTTTAAATAGTCAATCTTATCAGCTTATCATATGGTATTCTACACCATATCTTTGGTACGGAATACTTCAAAAGTCTTTCAGGTCATACATGCTTCTCTACTGTTGGCAGAAAAATGCACAGACAGGAAGTTATCAGGAACTGAGCTTGACCTGAAGGAGATGTTATGTACAAAAAAGAACAATTTGTTAAAATTACATCTTTAAAGTAGAAAATTAAATAATAATTAATTCTCCATGCACCCCATTCAAGCCCTGAATGGTATATAACTTTTAAAATATGAATTTAAAAACCTTGCATTTTCAAAATAGATTTTTGGAATGTGTATCTCCTACAAAAAAGCAATTTCAAATTCATCTTTTTCAATTTGACTACTTGGCTTTCAATATAAAAATCACAGAGCAAGAATAAAAAGGAATATGCCATTCCTGTAGTTAGCTGTATTTAAATGGCAACATAGCCATTTCAGATCAAAAAAGTAAAAATAATCTCAGAAATTAAGAATAGAAGAAAGTTCTACAAATTAATTAACTGAAATATAAGGATTTTAGCCAAATATTAAATTAAAAAAGGGCAAGGGATGAAAGAAAATGAGAACATAACTGCAAAACAGATTTCAATCTGTATACCCAGGACTATTCAGACATACCTAGCAAACATTTAATTCACAATTGCAGAAAAAAGCAAGGTAACATTTAGAATGCAAGTTAAGCACTATCCATGCTGAACATGGATATTTATTAATCTTCCTCCAAAAGAACTTTAGAAAAAATGGGAGGAGATACGTTTTTCAACTCCAATAAATGATGAAATTGACCAATGCAATAATTTCAAAACATATTCTAGCTGGTATTAATGAAATATTGAAGGTAACTCTATAAAGCAATAATTTTCACTAAATTAAACCTATTTTGTTGTTGTTGGATTTCCTTTGTATAATATGGGGGGAGGGGAAGAAACAATTATTTCCCCATTCAACCACTTAGTCATTCAAGTAGATTGAGCCAGTTATTCCTTCATGATTAATCTGATTAATTTTATTTATTAGCTGTATAGAATGGAAAAGCTGAAATATAGTGAATTCTCAAACAGAATAGATCAGTTGCTGGCAAAGCCAGTGTTCTTATATATTAGAACTTCCATAAAACAAATTGTCAATCCTTTTTCATCATGTTTTGGAATTCCCAATGAATACTAGTTTCCCAGCAAGAATAACCTTCTAAGAACATTACTTATCATAAAGGATCTTATCATTAGTTTCACAACAAGAGTGACCTTGTTAGAAAATTATTCATGCTGAAGGATCTTATCATTAATTTCCCAGCAAGAGTGAACTAAGAAGAAACTTTCCAGAAGAAACTTATCACTCTTAATAAACTAATCACAGATATTTCCACAGGTCTGTCTTGGCTGCTAATATCCTTTAGTAACTTCTAGACCAGGGGTGTTCAAACTTGACAGCTGTAAGACTTGTGGACTTCTAACTCCCAGAATTCTTCCTCCAGTCATGTTAGCTCAGGAATTCTGGGAATTGAAGTCCACAAGTCTTAAACTTGCCAAGTTTGAAGACCCTTGTTCTAGACCCAGGGGATGAATAAACCCATTTTTCTCAATAGTTACTGGAATTTTCACTTTAACAATCATGGCAAAAAAAATTTAGTTGCTATCCCAGATAATTTTAAAAATAGGTCCTATGTGAATGCCAAAATAATGATCAAGTTTATTATTGTAATAATAGCCGCTACAGGAGCAATTTATTATAAGAAAACTAATGCAGATACCTGTAGTATCTAGAAAATGTAATGATTATCCAACTACAATGGAATCTTCTCCTGTAGTCACGTTTTATATTTTCGAAAGTGTTCCTACTTTCATTCCTTCACATTATTTCAAACAAAAGTATAAATACTTCTGAATAATATTTGACAGGGGTATCCTTCAAGATTTCCACTACATGAAGGTGGATTTAATTTTCTGGGCCTTCAGAATTCATATTAGACATTTTAGCTTTGATGGGATAAAAATCCAATAATAACGAATATGATGCTTTCTTTTTATTTTGTGTTTAAGATTAACTGTTAGGGGAATGAGTACCTATATATGCTTATAAACTTTTCCATTCCTTGGCAATAAATAACATGTCAAAATTAATTTAATATGTACATTAAGATCATAAGAGAATCTACTAGCAGTGACTTGCCCAGAATAACAATTTTCTATGTTATTTTTGGTATAATAACTGAAATTGCTATTGTTTGTGAAAGAATTTTAAAGCTTTGCTATCATGTGAACATATTTCTACTTTCAATAGAAAACAGTTCAGAATGTTTGTGACTTTTATAACTTCATCATACTGAGCACATGAATGCCATTTTTTCCACACATTTTACAGTAAATAATTATGCTACAATTTTATATAATTGCAGTAACTCATTTGGCTAAAATTGCAGCAACCATATTTTTCCTCCCAATCTGAAGACAGGAAATTAGACTTTTTACCCTTTCTACATTTATTTATTAGATATTTATTTATTATATATTTTCAAAGGTAGCTAGAGATATTTAAAAAACTCAAACAATTTATTTTTATTTAGGCTAGAGAAGGGGATTGAGAACAATCTTGCCAATTTGTCTTCTAACTGAATCTGAGGTGTGAAAGTTTTAATTATAGTCACATTTAGTGCCATATTTTTTTAATAAGTGGAGGGTGTTAAAACATTATTCATAAATGAATGAATGAATGAATGAATTTGGACAACACACCAGCCAAGATTTGTTTAATATCAGTCACTTGTTTTCCTGGTGTGCACTTAGCCCTCCCCATTCTGTTCTCATTTTATCTTTTCGTACAAGTTTGTGGATCAAAGAGACAGTTAGGGTTAGGGTTTTATTAATTATAATAGATTTGAAAATGCAAGTAAGTTAAATTGCAAGGCAGCAAACAAAGTAAACCATATCTTACCCTAGATTCTATGTAGCTTAAGTAACATGGGTTCTTCTTTATTATATGTAATTTACCTGTGTGTGTATTTATTATAGTGTATGTATAATTTACCATGAACATGTCTTGAAACATCTGTGTTAAAGTAAATTGGTCATTTCCCACCCACAGAAATTATGTCTTCTGTATCCCTACAAAATTATGCCCCACTTGTGGAAAATCAGTGCAATTCTCTTGTTATTTGCATGGAAATAATGGTAGAGAAGATACATATGGAAGTAACCAGATAATAACTAGAGTGAGAAACAGTATGATGTAAGGCAGCTTCTTGTATCAATGAATTACCGTAAATTAATGGGAAAAGATACCATGGCACTGACCTGCAAGCAAAATAATCTATTCTATTTTCTTATACTGTATAATTATTGACCAGCGACAATTAGCAGTTGAAGAAGGTGGAAGTGATCCTTTCTTGCTAACATTTCAGAGCTTTTATACTCCATATTTCCTTTTACTATTGCCTGCAAGCATTTTATAGGCATATCTGCCTAAATATAAGGTGCCTCAATAAATTCGGTCGTCCACCACGCTTGGGTGCCTCTGCTCTGGTAGCAACATGTTCTCCGAATGACTCAGGAGTTAGCACCGCCGAATCCGACGGGATTCACTCTTTAAGCCGAGGTTAGTGTTGTTTTGTTTAGTGACCAAGCAGCCAAAACCTCCCATTAACAGAGGCACTCGCGCCTTCTCCGGGGTACTTAAAAACGGCGACACGCCCACCCAACACGGGTCTTTCTTCAGTGTCACCGAGTTAGAGGCGAAAAATAGAATCGCGGGAGCCAAGGAAGAAGCAGCTAAGAGATTCTTTCAGTGGCGATTCTTACCCTCTTTGGAGCTGGGTTGAGAGTCGGACAGTAAAAGCGGAGTACGGTCCTCCTCCTCCTTCTCTTTTGCCTCTTCTGGCTTCGGAGTCTGCATGTCGCCTTGCTCCGGATTCCAAAAGAACCTCACTGGCCGGTCCCCCGGGCTAGAAAAGCAAAGCTCCAGGAACCGGCACGTGATCCGTATCATGTGACCTGGAACGAACACAAATACGACCAGTCTAAAGATTCAGCCCCCGTTGGCCGGCTTTTCTTCCTGCTCCGCTTCTCGTACTCGGCCATCTTTAGTGCTGGCATTTTGACAAAAGGAAAGGTTCTGTGGGGAGGGAGGGGGAGTTTGCGGAGGCCGCATTCGGCCGTAGAAACTGTGAATAGTGTCCCCTGCAATGTTAACAAACATGACAGAGAGAGCGAAAGACTTGCCCCATAATGCCAGCAGGTGGCGGCATCTGTCCCTTGACTGCTAGAAATTAAATACTTATTGAAAAAAGATGTTTATCTTTCAATCGAGTGGTTCCCAAGCAAAAATTAAAAGACAACATTAAATGAGATAAATTCGTTCAATTGCTGCACTGGTCAAAAACAATAGTAAAAAGAAGCAATAATACGTGGATTTGCAAAAGAAAAAGCATAGCATGGAGTCTGATCCTTTACTGAAATGCTGAGAATGAGGCAGAGTAGTTAACTCTTAAAATTAGAGGAGGATACCATTCTGAGATAAAGTATCAAGGCAGCTAACACCTGTAGAGGAAGACTTTTCATCTTTTCCCATTGTCTTTTGCAGAAATAGTTCTGCCAAAATACAGATTGGTTCTTGCACTATAAATATTATAAAACGTCCTGTTCTGATGAAGTGAACAGAGGCCTTAACTTTCCAGATAGAAGATCACATGGAATATTTGTAATTATTTACTACTAGGCAGTCGGGACAATGTTTATTTATTTATTTTATTTATTTATTTGATTTGCCAATTGTTTACAAGATAATAAGTATAAATGTATACATAGTTGTGAATACATGAAATGGGTACATATAAGAAAAATAAAAGAATAAGAGAAACAATAGGACAGGGACGGTAGGCACGTTGGTGCGCTTATGCACGCCCCCTACAGGCCTCTTAGGAAAGGGGTGAGGTCAATAGTAGACAGTCTAAGGTTAAAGTTTTTGGGGTTTGGGGAAGAAACTACAGAGTCGGGTAGAGTATTCCAGACATTGACCACTCTATTGCTGAAGTCGTATTTCCTGCAATCAAGTTTGTGATTGCAATCAAGAATGTGACAGTGTTGGTGTAGAAATATAAATTCAAATCCTTCCAGTTACGTTACAGTTTGCCAGGTGCCTTTGGGACAGTCCCCTTTTTTTAACTGAAGAAAAGCAAAGAATGATAAACATTATGACAGGACTGGGGAAATCTTTACCTTTTATGTAATAAAAAAATTGGAAAAATATTTCAGGTGCAATACAAGGTGGTGTATTTTTAAAATCCTAAGTGATGGCTCAACAGATATTATCTAAACTACAATATTAATATTCTTCATAAGTCAGATTTTTTTTGCCAGAGTTGTAATTCTATAATTATTGAAAGGCTAAAAACAGAGGAATCTATTACTAATTTTGTGACACATGCCTAATTTTTAATGAGCTTTCTCTACTAAAATAATCATGCCTTGTAATTAAATCTGTAGAGGCTTCATAAGTATGGGTGTCAAACTCGCGGCATCACATTGCCATCATGTGACGCTTCACAATGTTTTTTCCAGAGCTGGGATCTGCATGGCCTGCGCTTGACACATCTGGCTAGTTTGACACCCTTGTTTTGTACTTATAGCATAGAAGAATGCTTTCCTATATTGACCCCAACATCATCTTCTTAGTGTTATTCTCATAGGCACAGGGTCTGCTTTTTGGATCAACAATAGAATACCTTTTATTGTCATTGCATTCCATGAATACAATGAAATTTGAAAGCTACTCCAGCACAGTGCCCCAAACCACATCACAATCATACTGCAGAGTATATAATAATAATAATAATAATAATAATAATAATAATAATAATAATAATAATAATAATAATAATAGACTAAATCACATATGCACTGTTTGATTCAAGACAATCACTGCCTTGGAAAAGAAACTGTTTCTCAATAAAATCTATTAGTCCTCATTTTAAGACACCTATAACGCTTCCCTGATGGTAACAGTTCAAAATATGAATGTCCAGCATGAGAACGGTCTGTGGAGATTTTTAGTGTTCTATAGAGGAGTCTGGTCTTTGCAATCTCTTTCAAAGAAGAAAGAGAGCAACCAATGATTTTTTTTGTGCTGTGTTTATAACTCTCTGGAGCATCTTCTTATCCACTGCAGAGCATCCAGCATACCACACCATTACACAGTATGCCAAAATGTTCTCGATGGTAGAATGGTAAAAAGTAACCAGCAACTTCTCACCCAGACCACTCTTTTTCAGCAACCTCAGAAAGTGCAGGTGCTGTTGGGCCTTCTTTGCAGTGGTCATAGTGTGGACCGACCAAGTAAGGTTGTCAGAAATATGAGTTCCTAGAAATTTAAAACTATGAACTCTTTCCATACAGTCTCCATTGATATACCGTGTTTCTCACATAATAAGGCCGGGCCTTATTTTTTTTTGAGCCCCGAAAAAACGGCTAGGCCGTCTTTTCGGGGGGTGACTTAATTCCCCCCCTTGCATCCTCGCCACCAGCCGCTCCTAACGGGCGATCATGGCCAAGCACAGAGAGCTCCCTACTCCCACCTTTGCTGCAGACACCTTTGGCACCCGCCGCTGTTGCTTTCCCTTCTGCCCATTACGCCGCCACGTTTGGAGCTGCCGCTTCCGTGATTGGAGCGCGGTCGCCATTTGGAGCTCCAAACGCGGAAGTGGCAGCTCCAAACATGACGGCGGGCGATCTTTTTATTTTGGTCCGCGCGAAGTTCAGAGCAAGCAAGAGAGGGAGACCGCGATGCCTTGCTAAAGAGCTTTCGCCTTTCCCTCCTTGCAGCGCGCATGCGTCCCAAGCAACACTCCGCCCCGAAGAGTCGTCCTACTGCCTTCACTCTGCGTCAATTACACGACTCCGCCCTCCCCTCCGTCTCACCCTCCTGCGCTTTGGGCATCTCCGTGTGATCGCGGCCCTGTCCTTTCCACCTGGCGCCCTTGCTCGCTCTGAACTTCGCGCGGACCAAAATAAAAAGATCGCCCACCGTCATGTTTGGAGGTTCCGCATTTGGAGCTTCCGCCGCCGTTTGGAGCTCCAAACAGCGGCAGTGCTCCAAACACGAAGCCGGTTGTTAAAGAGCCAGAAAGCAGCAAGGGCGCCAGGTGGAAAGGACAGGGTCGCGATCACACGGAGATGCCCAAAGCGCAGGAGGGTGAGACGGAGGGGAGGGCGGAGTCGTGTAATTGACGCAGAGTGAAGGCAGTAGGACGACTCTTCGGGGCGGAGTGTTGCTTGGGACGCATGCGCGCTGCAAGGAGGGAAAGGCGAAAGCTCTTTAGCAAGGCATCGCGGTCTCCCTCTCTTGCTTGCTCTGAACTTCGCGCGGACCAAAATAAAAAGATCGCCCGCCGTCATGTTTGGAGCTGCCACTTCCGCGTTTGGAGCTCCAAATGGCGACCGCGCTCCAATCACGGAAGCGGCAGCTCCAAATGTGGCAGCGTAATGGGCAGAAGGGAAAGCAACAGCGGCGGGTGCCAAAGGTGTCTGCAGCAAAGGTGGGAGTAGGGAGCTCTTTGTGCTTGGCCATGATCGCCCGTTAGGAGCGGCTGGTGGCAAGGAATTCCGGCCCGACGGGCGCTCCTAACAGCAAGTCTCCCGCCCTTCCCCCTTATTTTGCATATTTTAAAATAGGCCTAAATTTGGGGGGAGGGGCTTAATTTGATTTTATGCCCAAAACACATGCTGGGCCTTCCTATTGGTGGAGGCCGTATTGTTGGAGAAACACGGTATAATGGGAGAGGCTCTGCTTTGCATCTTCTGAAGTCTATAATAAATTCTTTGATCTTTTTGATGTTCAGGGTGAGGTTATGACTCTTGCACTACAAGACCAGTCTGAGAACCGCTGACCTATAGGCCGTCTCGTCTCCTCCTGATATGAGTCCCACCAACATGGTATCATCTGCAAATTTTATTATAGAGTTAGTGGGACAAGAGGGAGTGCAGTCGTAGGTTAGAGTGAATACAAAAGGGGGCTCAGTACACAGCCCTGTGGAGAGCCAGTGCTGAGAGCAAGACTGGAGGAAAAATAGCTGCCAATCCTAACGGTTTGGGGTCTGTTAGTAAGAAAGTCCCTTATCCAACAGCAGATGTGAGAGGAGACGCCCATTTCCAGCAACTTCTTAATCAGTATATCCAGAATGATGGTATTAAAAGCCGAGTTGTAATGAATAAAAAGCATCTTGTATGATCAAATGCAGCATCCAGGCCATGTCTGCATTTTTGACACATATGGCTGTAGATCTATTGATTGCAACAAAAAACTGACTGACCGGCTTATGAACAGGGCCTACATTAGTTTGGTCTGTGTTAAGCTCAACACCACCCTGGCAGGCAGGCATTATCCAGCAGCACCACTGGGAGGAGCAGATCTCACCACCATGTTGATCCCAACGTGTGAAAGATATTTGTTCCAGAATTAAGTTTAGCCCTTTTAGGAAAGGTGTCAAGATCCATCAGGAACAGTAGGTTGATGGTTGTCAGCATTCTTAGATGGGTTGCACTTCTCCATATTTGAACTGGTGTGCAGCTTGGGGTCCTCCTGGCCTTTTAACTACTGTTTGGCCAAACAGGTGGCAGTCGTGACCAGGAGGATCTTTGCATGGGTTCATCTTGTGTACCACTTGCCCTCTTTTCTTGAACAGGAGGCAGTTCAGATCAATCATCTCTTGCATTTATAATTACAATTTGCTGTCTATGGGAGTATCATAAGAGGCCCTTGTCATTTCACCATGTGTCATTACTGCTATGTGAGCTGTATTTGTATCTACCTGGCTTCTGGGTACAATTCAAGATGCTGGTTATCACCTTTAAAGTCTTTCAAGGCATAGTGGTTGGTTTATCTCCTATTGTTCCAGATCCATTCAATTAAACATTGTCACTGTATGGGACCAAGGAAGTATGCCTTCTCTGTTGCTGCCCCTCCCTTCTGTATTAGCATTCCTCCAGAGATGAATGTACCA